ACGGGTGTTGTATTTATATGATAAATACTTACTTTAAAAATTTTAAATTCCGCTGCATACAGCCCGTACGGTACTATCGAACCCAACATTAACAAATATATTAAATATACACTTTTTTTGACCAATCAAATCTCCCCAAACTTAAATCATTCCTTGTCCCCAAACAACTTAGAACTAAATACACATAGATGGATAGTAGAACAAGTACGCGGAATATTTGCTCAAAGACTCACACTTCTCACACAAATACATTGTTCAATCAACTCAAATTAATTTATCCGGACTCAAGACGAATTTATTCTAAGAACGCAAGCATATCAAGTATCAATCCAAGTGACCACCATAATTGTCAATCTCTGTAACAAATGTATCGATAAATGAAACTAATGACACTCCTCTCTTTGCTAACAAGTCTAGTTCCCTTCCGTTTCTGGCCGAAGTTTGAACGTCTCGTTTTCCAAATTTTCTTCTCTTTTTTTTTGTGAAGTAGGGAATGACAGTCCCGTCACAACCCGTGAGTTTTAGCTTTTCGTGCTCATATAGATACTAAAATTATTGGATTTACGCACTAAAGCCCCTACAGATGATTTTCGATCCACCAATTATTCTTCAACCTTCAACTTCATTCAATATTTTCAACTACGAGACATAAAAACCCTAACTTTCAACTTCAAGTCCCCACACTTAATCAATATTAATTAAGTCAATCACAAGCACGTCTCAACAATACAAATCGCCTCAAAACCAATTCACCAAAAATGAGCACCTTGGCAGCAGTGTGAGCACCTCGGCAGTAGCATGCACCTCGGCAGCAGGCCCTGGGTTGTGGACTCGGCGGTATGAAGACGTGTAATAGGAGAACCTCGACGGCCTGCCTACAATTGGTAGCAGGCCGGGGTTGGCCACCAAAGTAGGTAGGCTGCGTGACAATCCTAACCAAGCTGCTCTTCTCCAGCTCGGTATTAGTTAAGAGAGCGGGAAGAAGAGAGAGTCGTGCTAAGTAAGGAAAGTGAGTCCTTTCTTGCGAGGGAATTTATACCTCTAATGACTCTAGATATGACAGACTCTGGGTTGTTGAGAAGAGGGGTCTGAGGAGAACTGTTGTCTCACCAGGAATCCTAAGATCAACACGCAATTTCAACTATAAAAAGAGATACAGGTTCATTCTTTTGACACAACACATATACATGCGCGAATTTATTTTCTAGACATATTATCGCTGAACGTTGGACTGACTTGAGCGTCAGAGTGTTTTCCGCCGAGACCTCTCCTGGCATTTTGCAGGTCATCGGAGACGTCAAGACGGTTCAAAACCAGCTGAAGACGGTTCAAATCTGGTCGAGGCTCAATTTGCACAACATATCGATATTTTTTATTTATAAAATTGAAATTATTAAACAAAAAAACTCCGAGTCAATACTCCCTCTCGAGGTACAATTTATTACATCTAGATTTTCATTTCATTCATGCCACGTAGCATGCTATTGATATTTTGTCGTTTATGACGGTCGTGGATAAAAAATAATTTTAGACTTATCTATTTTTGTCAAATTATTTAATTTGGACCGAAATTTTCCGAAATTAAAATTATAATAAATCCCTGCAAAATTATAATAACTGTAGCCATTATTTAATTAGAGAGCATTGTGAAATAATAGGGACTTACCACATTTATTTTCAATAGTGGAAATATATTTATTGTAATGTAAGAGTGTTAAATGTATTATTGGGAATGTCGGGGATAATCCTATAAAGGCAATCTCCATTAATATCAAATGAAGACGTCAAGTGAAAAAATTAGCACAAATTTCATAGTTCATCTATTTTTATATTTTTATCATATTAAATAATTATATTCTTTATATCTTCATATACTTCGTATACCACAATCGCTCTATCATTCTTGCAACAGTAAGAATATATTAGATATATCTATTACATAAAATTATAATCACTTCCTATTTTGTTTATTAAGATTATTATTCATAAGTAGGATTTGTCACAATCAATAATATTTGGTGAGATGATATTATAAGGTTTTTATATATATCATTAATGATTAAGAAAAATAACTTCAAGTTACAATCATAAATATACATTATATGTAGTCATGCATAATTTGATGCATTGACACTCGTTCAAAGTGTATTTATTGTTGGATACATATCAATACATCATTTGTTAATAATTGTGGATGATTCCATATTATCGTGTCATCCGACGATTCTATAAAAAAAAACTGTAAAATTTTTTACCTCCTGATATTACTATAGACTATTATTTACAAACCGATACTTATTACAAGGATTTGATCATTTTAGAGTTGAATAACATTTTAATGGCCAATTTGAAACCTAAAAGATAAAGACTTGTCAATTCACGCTTCACGTAAAAAATGTGTGTTCACACTAGGGACGGTACCGTAATTAACCAACTCTTTAAGTGTGAACGCAACAAACCAAGTAATTACGGTACCGCCCCTAGTGTAATTAAAGTTGGCACTTTGATTGGCTTCTTTTACCATTCCTAACATTGTTATGATTAAAGCTACATTAGTCTTTTATTTCTTTCATCTTTTGTCAGCCCGCATGACATTCAATATGTCAAGCATGACTTGTAGCTTTGTAGGTTTTTAACCGCGATACATAAAGATGTTTGATGGAGCTGCCAAAACTAAATGAGTTGTTTATGAATTCGGCTTGATTTGTTAAACAAACAATTTAATTTCGAGCTTGTGCAGTTATCAAACTGAGTTAAAGTCGACACTTTAAGGATCGACAATAAGATTTTTATTTAATTTTTAATTATTTAGTTCATTAATTAAAACTTGAGTTCGACTCATTCATTTAAAGAATTGAGCTCAATTCGAGCCCGAGATCGAGTATCAAATGTTCAAGTTTGACTTGGCTCGGTTGGTTACACCTCTAATGTTATCATTCAAGTTGCAAACCTCTTATACTAAAAATCAACAGGCATGATATTTTAGATATGATATGTTGGAAAAATTAGTTATAAAACTTGGGTTTGACCCAATTTTGACTGAATTCTTTATGGCTAAATATTTAATTCGGGTTGAATTGAATTGTATTGAAAAATTTACGTTTTGAGTAGATACTCAAGATATATTTATTTTCTCAAATTGATTTTCATTAAATGAGAAATACATGATTAAAGTTAGTCATAAATAGGCACGTAAAACGATGATTGTGTGATTCAAAGGGTCAAAAGTCCTTTCCAATTGGACTATTAAATGAGATTAACTCTCTTTATTATATTAAAAGAGTTGAAAAGTCACAACAACAACAAATTTAGTGTTGGCTTTGACGACACGGGCTTTTTAATGAGATTAACTCTCTCATTGCAGTTAGATGGGTGCTCGAGGAAACTGTAAAAACATGTTGGTAGGATATTGAATGTTGCTTGAAAGAAAGAGGAGTTGTGCAAAAATTGAACTCAAATTGGTCTTTTTCCTCTTCTCTATATTATGTTTGTGTTGATATTGAAGATTTGAAAAAAAAAAAAATTGTTTCTTGTTGTTTCTCTGTTACTTCTTCCTCTTCTAGTTCTAGTTGTCAGTTGACCATCTTGGTCTTGGAAGGATAACATCAATGTGTCTCTTCTGTTATTTTCCTCCCTAGCTAGATCGACTAGGGTAGGACAATATTGTAACCAGTTGGTTTTCTGCGTATACATTATTGAGTTATTAATATATAATTTGTCCGTTACGGAAAAAAAAAATTCAATTTGACCAATCAAAATCCAGTGATGGTTATAAAAAAAAAAAACTTTATATCG